TCACGTGATATAATCTTTATCCAATAATATATGAAATATTTATAATTCAATAAAATATTATGACGAAAGATCATTATACAACAATATTTAAATCTAGTGCCAACACATGCTAAAATACTAAAATACTATTGATACTCCTTTGTTATTATATAATAAAATTAATTAAATACAAAATAAACTTAATATAATACAAAATAATATCAATATAATACAAAAAAAATTAAATATATGAGAAGAATTAATTAAAATATAAAAATAAAACACATATTAAATCTTAATAAAATGATTTATATTAAGTATATATTATGATATAAATTTAATTTATAATTAAAATATCTTAATAAAAATCAATTAGATTTCTAATAATCATTATTCTTGTCAAATACTATCATCATGTGAGAGAAATATCATTATTATAGATAAATATTGAGCTTCTCACCTAACTGATCTTTTGCTCTAGCATGTCAACAAATAGTTAAATAATATATAACATATCATAATGATAATAATACTGTTTTATATATAACACTTTTATTATTAACTTAATTTTTTTGCTGAGAGAAAATTAACTCTAAAGAATTATAATTAAACTTCTTTATAGTTATTACTCTTGAAAAAGCAAAATTTAGTGATTATAAAGGAAATATAACTATAAAGAGATTTTTTATTATATTTACAGTTAAATTTTTTTATACTTATATTTATTTATAGTTATATCTTTTTATAGTCACTTTATTTTACTTTTCATTTACATATAAATATAATAAAAAAATTTCTCTATAATCATATTCTCTCTATAATCACCAAAGTTTACTTTCTTAAAATTGATGATTATAAAGAGATTTGATTGTATATATAAATAGGAAAGCAAAATAAGATAATTATAGAGTAATATGATTATAAATAAGTGTGATTATAGAGAAATTTGATTATATATTAAGTAAGTTTTACAATATATTAATTTGATTATAATAATTATTAGAAGTTTTTTTTAAAATATAATTTACTTACCTAGCTTTACTTCATTAAGCTTTACACATACTTTGTAATATTCAAATTTTGGTTTCTGAAATTAAAATTGAGAGTAAATAATATTATAGTCAAATCTCTTTATAATCACATCTATTTATAGTCACACTTCTCTATAATTATCTTGTTTTGCTTTCATATTTACATATAAATATAGTAAAAAAATCTCTTTATAATTACATCTTCTTTATAATTACCAAATTTTGCTTTTCTGAGAATGATAACTATAAAGAGGTTTGATTGTACTTTATAATATATATGATTTATCTTGAAATTTTTTTCAAAATTCTTTCTATTGGCAATAAATCATTGGGCAAATTAACATATTCTGGATCATTATCAATTTGTATAAGTAATAATAAGTAATAATAAGTAATAATAGCATATTATTATCTCTTGCGATAGTTTAAAGAAGTTAATTAAACGTTCTGGAGTCTTCTTTATACTTTTCATTTCCGTACCGTGTTGAGCTGCAGAAAAATAAAACTGGTGTTTTGGATGTGAACACAACTTGTTGGTTTTGGCTTTTTTTAGCATTTACTATCAATTTATTGTAATGCTTTTTGCACAAAGTCTTGTCGACCAAGTCAAGATGTTGACTCAAACTTAGTATTAATACCCAATTGGATATAATATACACATTGTGCTGCTCATAATCGCAAATAACACCCTCTTGACCTTCCAAATCACAGTGTTGAGCCTTTCTTTTTCCTTTTTTTTCGTTGGGGAGGATTGGATCTTCGTGAAGAGTTTCTTGTGCAGACATTCTTTTTTCTTGATAATGCCGTAATAAAAGTGTAAGTAAACACTTCTTAGCTAGTTTCCGAATTATCTTGTCGTTTCCCGAATTATTTTGACAGTTTATATATAGATATCCTTTTAAATTATTTTGGTCACAAGCTTTGCAAATTCGTATCGGCTGCCAATCCATTTTTGTGACTGCAAAACGTTACGTTAATATGTAGAGCATATTGTGTAACATTTCAGTCGATCATCCAATCAAATTAAAAATAACGGTTGATAGATGTAATCAAGACCAATTTTTGGATTTTTGGTCCGGCTGATGGTAGTTATCGATTTGACACCAGCTAAACTATATTACGAAAAATACTTAGCACACACATATTACGTGCGGCAATGATTCTATATTAACCACTCTAAATCACAATAGTTGAATACTAGTTATAGGCTCAACATAGATAATACAATGTAAATAATGCTCTCTTTGTTATTATTACATCGCAATTATTTCAACATGCTAATCGATATCTGTCGCCTGATTTGTGTGATTCGAAAATTGTGATTAATTTCCCTATATCGAATTATATGACCATTTTTAGCTCGTTGTCTATTGGCCAAAAATGGCAAAAAAATGGCAAAAAACATGAATAAGTATTGATTCTTTATTCTTCGCCAAGTTAATTTCCACAAAAAATCGAAGCATATAAATCAACCGGGTTGACATTATAGAAAAACGATGCGTGTGTGTAGGTAAATATTATACGCAAGGTTTTTTTTAATATTTTTTTGCGCAAACTAACATGCTAATCCATCTTATTATTGCGGAAAAATAGGTACGAGTAACTAAGCATAGTGATGGTAGGTTTGATATTGTAACAACTATAAGTCTCAAGTATGTACACGGGCATACGATTTTTGCTAGTGTTTGAAATGGTCATTAGTCTGTACTGAGAAAAAATCACTATAAGAACAGAAGATATTAGAAACAACGCGACTGATATCATATGGCTTACGCAAACATGACATTTTTAGTTCATCTTGCTAAATAGATATTTAACCGTATCATATAAATCATAACCAACGTGTTAGGAAAGAAGAACCACAGGTTCGATGCCATTGTCGATGCCATTATCAAATGACTCAACACTACGTGTTTCGTTCCGCATCATCTGCGAATGAGCTCTTCTCATGGTACATTGAGGTAAATCGTAATTATAGTCATGTGAACCTGATTTTGGGTCAAATACAAAATCGTAATTTTGCTGTATCATGTTATTCCTGAATCCACTGAATAACATGACTTCCCATTTTAATCGTTTATTAGGAAATCGTGCTTGCATTTTTTTTGCTTACAAACTTGATTTCTCCGGGTAAAATCACCACCAGAGAATTTAACTTCGATTATATGTTCACGAAATGTTAATTGTCGTCATTTCTTAATAATTGGCATTTTGTCGAAATTAGTATATTGCAAATTCTCTTTTTTATTTTTCCAATGCACATGGTTAAAAACGGAAGCCCGATTGGACAAAAACTTTATTCAATGAAATTATAATATATACGAATTTTTTATGAAATTTCTTTCTCTACTGGTTATGCTTAAATAGATCCATTAATTCAAAATATTATCTTTCAAATGCTATTTCAGAAGAGGAAGAGATTATTTGTGATATTCATATTATGATTCCAGGATTATCTCAATTACATATTGCTCTACAAAAGTAAAACGTACAGAATAATTTTGAAATAAATCCACACCTGGAACAACAAAGTATAACAACCATTTATTTTCGCCAGCTATATCTTTAGTGTGGTTACTTTGATGCTATGTTTCTGTGAAATTGTCATTCGAAAAAGTCCAACATTTGGAATCAAAGAATCAATGGAGGCAAACTTTTTAGAAACTGGTCGAAAGTAATAATTCAAATTCACATCCACATTCTCCAGCTTTGCAAATAATCGCTCATCCTTGGACTCTAAAACTAGCTCTTCTTCTCGATTTCCACCAAGTTTACGAACACGAAATGCTCCCCCTTTACGCAAAATATTATGCGTATATCCTTCAAATAATTGTCCACGAAGTGAGCCTAAACGATCTCCTTCTGAAGCAGAAAGGAATGTAATAAGTTCTCGTTTTTATTGGCGTTCAAAATGTTCTGCAACTTTCTCAGCTATGTAGGTAGAGGCAAACATAACGGTTGCGGAACAATAATTGGTGGTGATAATATGGAGGATTCGATAACTAACACCATTAGGGCTATCAATTTCTCCAATACTCTGTATACATTTTTTCAAGAGAGACTCAACATTTCATTTTCTTCGATATCTGGAAACAAGATATCCTTGCAATAACGAAGTTCATTTAAACTCCAAATTGGCATGTATCGCATCGTTGTGTATTGATACTTAAGGAACTCCTTGTAATAATGTGGGTTTGGTGATGAGACAAGAATTGTCTTTGCTTGATATCGCATAGGTTTCTTGGTATCAACAAGATACCATGTAGTATTTTTGTTCAAAATATATCCTAGATTACCAATGGTCTCCAATTCAACCACGCCGTTCTTGAAAACGATACATTTATCATGATCATGACTGTCTAACAACACCGTTTCTCCATTTTTTGCTAGCTCATATAGTATGTAGAAAAGGAAATAGCTTTTGCCAATTCCAGGGTTTCCTGTAATTACAAAGCGGTGGTATTCGCCACTATCAATCAATGCTTTAATCTCTGAAAATATCTCTGTAAGCTTTCCGAACAAGAATTTTTGAGGAATAATCTGGATTACCAAGAAATACACCAGCCACAAGAGAAAGAATATCATCAATAATGTTAGTACTTGAAAGGGTATTCCAGAACTTCGATAGATTCTCAATTAATGGATCTTTTGATGAATTGCAATTGAAAAACAATTAATGATCAGATTAGATTAATTTATTGGGCATTTAGAAATTTAGTGGTAAACTCTTACCTTTTTCAGCGATGCGTGCCTTTTCGAAGGAAACTCCTTTGCATCTAAGGAAATAGATTACATTATCAATCAAGCTTTCCACGAGGTTGCGTTTTCATTGTATAAATGAGGATGAAAACAACGGCTATCAAAAAGTTAAACCACATTATTTTATACTTCTATTGAACCTCTTTGTGAGAACATACCAGGCGTAGAGACTAGAGACCTCAAGTAATCACGTTTCTCATCATCCGTTGTACAGTCAGGAAGAAAATACGCCGCATCAGCTTGTCGTTCTTTATTTCCAGTGAAGTATTGACGTAAAGCTATTTTTTCCTCTGGTGAAACCGAGGCGATTAATTTCTGTTCTGAGAATCGTTATTGGAGTATCGGGAGTGGACATGATTGTTGGTTTTCGATTCGGATAAAAAAAAAAGGTAACACAAATGTGCAGTTGTACAGTTCAGAAAGAGATTTACAAGAACTGATTTAAATGCTTACAGTTAAAGTTCGATAAACCGAAGGCCTCAGGTTATTCAAAATAAGCTTCGTTTAACGTTATAAAGTATTATTTATATTATGCTTTGTTATGTTAAGCTCTTTGTTAATAGGTTAGTTCCTGAAAATTCTTCGTTTTAACGTGAGTTCGCTTTATCGAGGGTTCGCTTTATCGAGGGTTCGTCTTATCGAACTTTTAATTGAATGTACAGATATGAAAATTCAACAACTGATTGGTGGGATACATAGACATGCATGGGACACGTGATGAAACATGTCCTCTGATCGGGACGTGGACAGTGGAACAATGTTCCAAATGTCTAGTATCCTAGCTAAAACTATATTTCTTATATTTGATCTCTTGTTTTAATTGCAAGTTAATTAAATTAATAAATAAATGAATTAATATTTTATTTGTTTATAAACTATATTTGAAAATACAAATATTATAAAAAAAATTTCTGATTTCATTCTAGCTAATTAAAAAATAAATATATATTATATAATTATTAATTATATTATCTATTTTATCTAATTTGATAGTTTATATGTTATATACTTAAAAATATAAAATTATATAAAATGATAACAAAATTTGATATTCTTTCTGCAAAAAAATATTTTACAGTATTAATTATTGATAACTAAACTCTTTGTGAATAAGAATCTTTTAAAAGTTATATCAAATCAAAATAATTATTTGTTAAATGAATTCTTTATAAATAAACAATTTAGTAATAATTATTACTATTAATTAATTTAATATAATTAATTAATATTAAAATAAATTAACTATTTAAAGAATTATAAGATAAATTAATCTTATTAAAAAATAATTCAAAGAAATCAAAAAGCAACTAACTAAAATAATTTGTAAAAGTTATTGAAAAATTTAATTACTAAATTAGTAAATCAACTTAACAAATTATTAAAAAAATATAGATAACACAAAAAGTAATAATAAATATGTTTTTCATCTATAACTTAATAAAAAATTGTTAAAAATTTGGTATTATATTCTTTAGAATGACAAAAACAAAATTTTTTAAGATTACAAAATGTATTATCATAGTAATATTTTGTGGAATACATACTAAAGGTGACAGGCTGAGAAATATTCTAATTAAAGAGCTATAAAAAATTATTTATAAATATTTTTATAACTCTTTAACTAGAATAACTCACAGATTCATCATCTTTAATACATAATTTTGCAAAATATTATTATATTGTTATGATATGAATATTTAGTTCTTATTTTATTGGTTATTCATATTATAAATTTAATTGAATGATATTTTATTATATATTCTATTGGTTAATTTCATATTTATATTTTATTGGATAATTATTTATTAGATATTATTG